TTTTGCGGTCTTTTAAAAAGTTTAAAACATTGGTTTATATGGGTTTTGTTGGAGAATGAACTGTATTTTAATTGAAAATTCTTAAAAACAAATAATTAAACATAAGTGGCAAACAATATCGCTTTGAAAGGGGGGTGCTATAGATATGTCCAATACTGTATATATATATATATGTGAATTATAAAGTGCTTTCATTTATTTCTTGCTCTAAAATTTTAAACAAAATTAAAACATGCATATGTATTGATTATAGGGGTTAATTACTCTTTATTTCGTTTAAGTGCTTCATATTTTACAGTTTGATAACTTACAAAACTACGTTTAAAAAAACAAGAAAAAAAGAACGACCATTTTACTTTATACTCTTCAAAAACAATCTCGCACTGCATTGTTTAAAATATTTTCCCTGCAACATCGTACAGTTGCTACAAATTATTAAAACATTACTGATTGTTGGTGTATAATATATGTATGTATTTACCTTAATACATATGCATAATATTAATTAAATTTTGTATTAGCCACAAAGAACAAATATTTCAATATGTGTTTAATTGGTAGGGATTACAACTTTTATTTCGTTGAGTTCTCTTTAAATGTTTGCATTTTATTTATATTTCTCAAGTTTTTTACAAATATGTCTGCTTTTTATTATAATAAACCGTTAAAATTGGATTTCTATTTTTTCTATCAAATTAAATCGTTATTTTAGAATTTTTATTTTTTCGACCAATTTTGATCGTTTTGTGATTTTTATCTTTTTTTTCGATCATAGCATAACCGTTACTTTCCAGTTTAATTTTTTAGAACATTTAGGATTTAAAGCGGTCAAAAGAACGCCTCCACCATAACGGTTAAAAATTATCGACTTAAATAAAAATTCCAAAATAACAATTTTGCAATGATGTAAAAATTAAAATCTTGGTATTTAATTTTTATTTTCGGACCCTGCTTTATTTATTTCATATGAACATTTAAAGTTCTCTTACTTTTTCCCTTAAAAGAAGGGGAAAATGTCACTTAGGGCTTTTAAGGTTATTTAGAGGTTCATCATATTTTTTGTACGCTCATATTTTTTTCAAACGACTTCACAAAAAGGAGATGGTTATCAATTCGTCGGAATATTTTTTTTTTCTATGTATGTTACCGCATAACTTTGGACCACGTTCACAGATTTCTATAATTCTTTTTTAAAAGGAAAGGTGCTACCTCACAGAAATTGACGATAATCTTACATTTTTATATGAGAATTGAAGTCGGTTTTGTTTTTTGCTTAAAAATTACTTGTTTAAACAGATGTCGCCGCTAACGTGGCTGCGGTAAAAGTTGTAAGATTTTTTTTCATGTGAATTGAATTCATATTTCTTAAATCTTTAAACTTCAGTAGTTTCAAATTAGAGAAGTGATCAGATAAAGGTTACCAGTATTAAAAATTAGTGTATTCGCATTAGTTTCGATACTAGTTTCCACCGAGTCACATATGTGTACATAGTTTGGGGTGGAGTTTCATACTTTGGTGTTGGTGGATTGGCAGTCGTTACCGTAAATTTAAACGCTTCTGAATTCGAAGTGACTTTAGTGGAAATTCACTGGGAAGTGAATTACAGAATTTTGCTATAAGGAATAAGCGACTGCAAAATTTTCGAGTCTTGTGTTATAAGATAAAAAATTCCAGAACAATAGTTTTATTTCAGGGCAGTAAGCCAGTCATACGAGTATACAAATTCTCTCACAAATCGTAAACTGCTCAGAAGTAAAGGAATCATTAGATGTTTCTCGTAATTTTGTTGTGGTTAATTGATATGCAAAAAACAACTTCAAACCTCTATTATAAAATTGAAGTTATAAACTGTAAAATTGTAAATATCAAAACACAAAAATAACTGGCGTAACGCGATAATCTGCCTTATCCGGAGTTTTGCCTGAAAAAAATGCACCCGAAAATTTGTCATCCGCCCATAGTAAAACCATGGAAACCAAAAGTGAACCGGTTCGGGGGAAAATAAAACTCATGATAAGGCTGAATACCTTAATGGTTGGACTTAAAGACGTCAAGTATTGACTGACTCGTATGTTGTGCCCAAAATGATCTGATAGATTTCTGCAGCTTACCTCCAAAAATCGTTGAATTGCATAAAATGTTTAAACCATTTTTAAAAGCTATGCAATATAGACCCGTAAATGGAAAATAACCGAATAACGTAATAAGTTTATTTAGTTAATAGCATGAAAGTAATAACATTCGACAACTGTTTCATTAATATTACAAATTTAAATACAGAAAGCAGAAATATTAGCCATAAATTACAACGCGTTTACTAAAACTTTTGAATACTTTCAACATTTAACTGTGAAAGCTTTTGAGCTATTAAAATATTTTCTAATTTTATTTTTTTTTATCTAAAAAAAATTGCCGATTAAATTCTAAATATACAAACTTAGGAGGGGTACAACCAAGTCTACTTTCAATAACTTCTTGTAGTGATTGCTCATGGAAAATTGAGACCGAAAATCTGAAATAAGTGTTGATACTTAGTTGATGTATGAAAAATGGGTCGTTCGAATTTTCATACCTTAATAAATGTTACTTTTTGTAATAAAAATGTTCATTGCAGACTGAAGTCGAAATATTGACGAAATAAACGCAACTAAAGCATATAGAGTGTTTAATTTCAACCCGGCCTTGAGCTCAACAAAGTTAATATCTTTAACAAAAACAATTTTTTTCGGATCTATTTCTGTTCCTTATGTTTGTCTCCATCATTATTACAAAAGGCCCTAAGTGAGATTTTTCGCTCCCTCTCAAGGCATTTTGGAGATAATGCAAAGGCGCAGTTCGCTGGCTGCTAACCTCTGCTCTGTATCGATTTGAGAGAATCTGTTTTTTTTTTCTTCATTATGCATCTTAAAGTCAACTCCTTTCTATGCACTACTTCAAACGAAATTCACTCTCACCACTGCTGCTTCAATCTGACCTATTGGGGGCTGTCAGAGAATCCATCGTAGGCCGATTTTTCGTGAAATCTACGAAAATGCGATCACTGAATCCGAATTGCTACGAACTTATGTAAACGCTATGTTCGTAGCTATTCGGATTAAGTAATAGTATTTTGTAGTTTTCACGAAAAATTGAAATACGATGGATTCTGTAATAGCCCTGATTATTCTTGCTATCTACATTTCAGCTTTTTTATACATACATATATGTATGCAGGCATAGTAGATTTTATTGCAATTCTTAAGAGAACTTGAAGTTTAGTTTACTTTCACAAAAATAAAAAATATCAGTTACGCCCTTTTTAATGATGGCATCTGTTTTATATTCTTATTTGCCGCTGTAACGGCCTAAGCGATTTTGGCCGAGCTCAACAAAGCGCGCCAGTCGTTTCTCTTCTGTGCCAACTGACGCCAATTGGAAATGCCAAGTGAAGCCAAGTCCTTTTCCATTTGGTCTTTCCATCGCAGTGGTGATCCTTTTATATATCGTGGATGAAATGTAGGAGGCCCTAACTGGCATTTACACCCCTATTGCGAGTGTCGACTAGTAGTAGATAAACGACTATAATTCGATTATCGTTTTTCCATGGTATTGTGAACGTGTATTTCCAGTTCAATAAGCGACTGTGAGCTGTTTTCAGTCGTTCATGCTTCTACAACTGTTAGTTAGTAGAAACATGAGCGACTAAAAACAATTCACACTCACTTATTGAACGAGAAAACGATATCGAAAATACCATGGATAATCGAATAAAGGCATCCACAACCTGTGCGATTCTGTCGGAACGAATCCGCACCGATTTTGATGCTACAGACGTTACTGCTTCGAAAACGCAAGTACGCACACGTCCGTCCCATTTTATCGCAGTAAAAACTGTCAACTTATAGACAAACAAAAATAATATTCTTAACTATTCTACATCAAACATGTTTTGTTTTCTTACGTTCAATTTTGTTTTAATATTGTAAAATCCTTCTTTATACCTTTTTCGTTCTCAAAACGCGGCTGTCTGCGATTTCGGAACGACGAAAAGAACTGTCAATATACCAATAAATCGCTGCAACAAAATCGTTTAAGTGTGTGATTCCTCATTTAAAACTGTGGTAGGCATTATTTAATTTTTGTCGGAACAGATTCGCACCGACAGAATCGCATAGGTGTGTGGATACCTTAATAGTCGCTTATAGTCGACTAGTCGACACTCGCAATAGGCGTATTATTTATTGTGTTCTAAATACATTTTAAGTAGCTTATACTATACCAGAACATATCTTCCTTAAACAATTTTCGAGCTTAATGAGAGCAATGATTTGGACGCTTTTTAAAAATCTTTGGGCATGGAGTTGTAACTGTTTCGAGATTGGCTTTTGGATTCCTATGCTAAAAGTGAAAAATATCAGTTGGGGCGATTCTACATTTCATCTACAAAATTTACTTATAATTTGCCTTGATATTATGCTTTCGCTTCTCAGACGCTTGACACGCACCCTTAGACATATGCTCTACGCCTCCGAATTAGAAAACTGTGTTCTTATCATTTTGTTGACATCAACATGCATTAAAAATACCTTAAGCCAAGTGAAATATTTTTTTTTTTTTCGATAGTTACATGCATAATGTACCTATAAAATATTGAAATCCTTGTCGATCATTTTCACCACCATTTCCATGCAGCCATTTTGTCATTAAACTGAAGTTATTCTTCCACACATTTCCATACAAACACTAAGTAATTATGTATTTTTAATTATGTTTTCAACTTCATATACATACATAAATACAAGTAATTTTAGAAATATTCTTTCGGTCCATGTAAAATGTTTTGATATTAGTGTGTCGTACATATGTATGTATTTATTTTAAAATTAAAAATATTTCTTCAGTTATAGCGCAACTGTATTCAATTTGTTTGCTTACATAATTGCTCAGAACTAACTGGATGACTACACTAAAGAACGATGCTGGATTTATCCTCGGCAAGTGGAAAAAAAAACTCGAACAATAAGTGTGGGATAATGAATACATGTTTGCATTTATTCTGTTGAGCCGCGACGAATTGCACATTGTCTAACCTATTGGCGGAAATAAACAGCGCAACGCGTTTATGGCCGTTTGCAGCGCCGAATGCTGATGCTGATTTGAAAGGTTGCGGCTATGACTATTAGTGATGGTGGTGTTGGTACTAATTGTGCTGCTGCTGGTGCTGCTTGGTAAAGCCACGTCGTATTAACTCGTCAGTAGTGCAATATTGATTTCTTTAACCATTTTGACACGGTGCAGCATCTTTTGTAATGATTCCTGGCTGAGCGCTTGCGTAGAATACCACACGGGCGAATCGGGAACACAAGAGCGTTCAGGTTGTAGATAAAATACGTCGTTTCGCGTTTTTACACTTTCCGGGCTATAAAATAGTTAGGAATTTAAATTTAAAGTATTTTAATGAATATAAATTACGGATTATACACTACCATTTGGAGAGATAAAATTCGTAAAGGCGGACCGGACAACGCAATGGATTTTCTTCATTCTCTTGTTGTTCGTAAACCTTCTTCTTTCTTGGATTAGCATCTGGAAATTTTTAAAATATCCATATAAGTTTTTTTTTACAATAAAATGTAGTAAAAAAAAGTAGTGAATTGCTTTAGTTTACTTACCAAGACCAGCTTGTGGCGGATAGAAACGCAATAACACATTTCGTGTACCGGGCATTTTGGCATTTTGTGCCGAACGTTTCCAATGTTTCATTATGTGCGAAAATGATAATTGCATGTGCTCTTCCACCGTCTGCAATTAAAAACAGAAATAGTAAGACAATCCATTCAAATTACATTCCCGTTGGGGTTCACTTACCGTTAAATTGAAATGTTTTGTGTTAAAGAACATTAGTGTACTAAGTAAAACATGTGGTGAATGAGCGCCCAGCTGTTTGCACTCCCACAAGTGTTCTTCTTCGACACGGGTAACAATGTACTCTGCAATAGAAAGAATCATTTGAGTCTTTTATAGTAATGATTCAAAATAGCGTGTAATACAAAGTTTGAAACTTACGCGAATCATTATAAAGTACGGAGAATTTACGAGCCACTTCATCCAGGCAATCGGTAAACCGTTCGTAATATGGATCTGTAAATATGTTATCTATTCGCCCATTTTCATATAGATATTGTTGAATACCTAGAATCATACACATTACATTTGTTAAAAAGTTAAATCGTATTTCATTTAATTCTAGACCACTTGATAGATTTTACTAGTAGCATTTATTACTAGGAAGGTAACATTTTTATAATGTTTTATTATAATACTATTTTTTCGTAAAATAAGACAAATGCGACTTACCTAGTACTAAGTAATATATGGTGTCTGGCGCATATTCTGTGCCATTCGGCTTTCGCACCTCCTTCACAAACAAACACAACGAATAGTTCAATTCGTCGGCGGTCATTTGCAGCAGCTCTGTTTTGAATGGTCGCCGCCTTGTACTACTCTTCTCGATGTCGGCATTCTTTGTCATTACCCATTGTTTCCACGCGTTCACACCAAAAGTGTATTTGAGACACATATTTGCGTCGGGTTTCTCTGCAGGTTGAACAGGTTGTGGTGGTGGTTGGGCCGGTTCTATATCGATGCGGGAACGTTTCACCGGCGACCTATTGTTACTGCGCGGTGATACCGGCGAAGTCATACCGCCACGTTTACGGCCACGTCCACTGCTGCAAAGATTGTTTGTTTATACATGACGCTAGAATCTATACTTTTTTTACAGTATGATAGCTTTTTTTTAGATTTTCATTAAAAAAAAGGATACTGCTGCTTTTCCCAAAATACTGCATTTATAAGAAAAATACTTTTTTGTTACCTACATTTTTTTAACGTACAGAACTAATATAAATTGTATAAATAAGTAATATAAGTCTTTGATACAAAACAATATAAGCTAAGAGCAAATTGTCGTGAATGCATACATATGATATATACTCGTGGCCACGTAAACCTTCCCACCACTTTTTTTTACTTTGGTAGAATTTCATGTGTAAATTAATAAAACTTTTTTTTTTATTTTTAATATACTAGTCACAAAACCCGTATTCAGTAAAATTTCGGGTCACAATTCTGCCTAATTAACGAAAAAGTGGTGGTAAGATAGGCGTGTTCATGATTTTTGATCTTATTTTTGCCAACGGTGCTACTCTCTTCCATACAAAAAAAAAATTGTCGAACATAGTAATTCTGTATGGAAGGAAATGCGCGACGTTGCCAACAAAAGAAATCAAAAATAACGGGTATTTTATAGACACTTCTAGCCAAAAAATTGTCCTTGCACAACTATGTTAGATTTTTTTAAATTTTTTGTAGGCAGTTGTAAATTCGCATGGCTTTTGTTAGACCGTATCATTTTGTTGTGCCGTAAAATATGCATACATATTACTAGGAATACCTTTATTTTATTGAAAAACTGTTTCAAAAAAAACTGCTGTACGCTTTTTTTAATGGATACTGCGAAACGGAATTTTTTCGCAGCAAACAAGCAGGTCCCGCAAATCACTTCCGAGTGAATTTCAACCGAAGTTATTTTGAATTCATATTGGATTGGTATTGAAAATCACTCGAAAATAGATATACAGTCAGTCAATAAAATTTAGATACAGCGAGTTCCAAACCTTGTGCAAAATTAAGAAAATTCTGCAAAATTTCATTCAAATATTGCACTTTTTATTTACGCTCTCTAGAAAAAAGTTGAGTTGAGGTGAGTTTTTTAGCCAATTCAGTTTTAGTATAATAAAGTGCAAGTATGAGGAAGCTAGGACTTACCATTGATTTTTGGGAAATTTTTTTGTTGAAGGTGTCGCACATTTTCTCCATATAAAAAAATATCAAACATTATTTTATATGGAGAAAATGTGCGACACCTTCAAAAAAAAATTTCCCAAAAATCAATGGTAGGTCCTAGCCACATCAAACTTGCACTTTGTTGTACTAAAATTGAATGGGCTAAAAAACTCCACTACTTAACTTTTTTCTAGAGAGCGTAAATAAGAAGTGCAATATTTGAATGAAGTTTTGCAGAATTTTCTTTAATTTTGCACAAGGTTAGGAACTGTGATTTTGGGATTTTTGTTGTAGAATTAACCACATTTTTATAAAAAATTATCGAAAAATAAAATATTTAAAAAATAGTTGCCGGTTTTGTAAAAAATTCTTTGTACCTAAACTTTATTGACTCGACTGTACTTTTTTAGAACAAAAAAAACTACCGTTATACACAATGCTAAAATTATAGTAAAGAGTAACAAACCGTTGTGTTTCCATTATATGATGCTGTTGATGCATATGGTGTGCGCTCATATGACTCATAGAATCGTCGTGTCCAACCATACCTGGTGGCGGGTTTGTGATCTCATTTGCCGACATTGCCGATTCCAAGTCAACGGCTGGTTGATCATACTCACCAGTTGCCATTTTCAATGCCATCTGCAGTACTTCTTCGCCATATGAATTATTCGCCACCTCAACTGGTTGTACATCATTACTATATTGTATTGGTACCAAACTGGGTTCAGTTTTCACCTCATCTTCAGAATCTGAATCTGATTCGTGCTTTTCCTCAGCAACCATTTCGGCCATCATGAGCAACTCGGCTTCAAATGGATCTGCAGGCATTTTATCTTGAATCTTCTTGATTTCTTTTAATATACCCTGAGCAGAATTTCGTGTAGTCGGTATGAAAATTGGTACTGGTATGGGCAATGGAATTGGTATTGGCACCGGATATGGTGCAGAGTACATGTACATTGGTTGTGGTATATATATCGGCACTGGCACTGGTATTAACACTTTATTAGAATAGTCTTTACCAGTTTGTGATGCTGTATTTGTTGTGTTAGGTGTTGTTTGGAAACCAACCGTAACAGTTTGTGGCTTAACACTGGTTTGTACATTGCGAACTGCTGGTGGATATGGCGGCACGGCTATAATTCTTGTTTCTGCTACGACCTTTTCAACCACAGTGGGTGCTGATGTAGTTTGAGCACGCTTCCCAATAGTTCTTACAGCTGCTGGCGGAATTTCCAGTGGAGGAGGTGAAGGTGATGCCGAATAATCGACTTGCTTCCTTGGCCTGCCTCTGGTGGGTCCGGTACGAACTTGCGGTGCAGGCATTTGTTGGATGGGTGGAGGTGATTCCAACTTTTGTCCCCTGCCCCTCCCACGACGAACTGTAACGCTTCCAATCATTGTTTCCGTTTCACCACTAGCTAAAGACGACACGGTTGATATAACTGGCATAGTAGGCCCTTTTTTACTTGTTGTTTTTGTTGGAAGTCTAATCTGTTTTTTATTAAGTTAGAAAATAAAAAACAAATTCGGGAAAAAAATGGGAAAGTTTTCTTGAGGTTATAATTTTCAAATAGACAAAATTAACGAAATTATTAAAATTTTCTATTCCATATGCGAAAATGGGATAGCTATAGTATTTGCACTGAATCTATTACAATGTGCATAGAGAAAGCTGATAACAAGTTGCCAGGCAGCAAGAAAATGATTCTGGTATGTAGACAGTGTTGGTAGTTCAATTCACGTTTTCTTTAGTTCAAGTTACCTTGACCGCAGCTAGATACACATGATGCAATGCACATATTATTGCATCATGAGATCTACATACCTTTTCTTCGTAGAATTTAGCTCCGGAATTTGGTTGTCATTTGAAATTTTTAAAAAACTTATTAGCAACTTTTAAAAATTTTTATAAGGGAAAATAAATAAATTTAAGGTAAAAAATAAAAATTAATTTTTACTACGAACCCTGAATATATGAAAGCGAAAAAGTTTGCAGAAAACGAGCGGCGAATATGCAAAATAGTGATTTTCAAAAACGCAAAATTCACAAAAAATAAAATACCTTACTATTGCTACATGGCTCATGTCTATAATCCTCGTTGTTAGGCATACTTGCACTGCTATACAATTTTTACGTAAAAATCAAAACCCAACAGAATTCTACGTGTTAAGTGCTATGCGTTGAGTAACCGCTTACACGCAAAGCCCATTTAAGAGATTCTTATGTGTCAACTCTTAAGAATGAAATGTAATTAGCCATATAAGTTAAATAATAACAGTTTTATGCAATTATTTACCAAGGTGCGTTCATGAAAGAAGGCAGATAGACTGATAAATTTAAGCAATTTATCCCTTCATCACTTTAGATGAAGACCCCTATCGTTTCTTGGAGTGTAGATGTGCGGAAAAAATGGAGGAAGATAAACAATTTCTGATAGAATTCTTTAAAAAATTTAATTTATTTTAAATGTCTGTGTGGTGTATAGCGAATTCTGAAAGTACTCGCGATGCGCAGACAAACTGTGTGGTGTATTTGGCCTACAACATCACCCATGAAGATGATATAAAACTTACAACTTAGGGCCAATTTCTCAATGTATGATTAACACTAACTACGTTCTAAGGGCCGGTTTCCGGAATTCAGTAAGCAATCTCTAGTCACTAATAGTTATGTTGGTGGTGAACATAGACTTTTGAGGCTATTTGGTATTTAGTAAAAGCTGTCTCGCGTCTCTAGTCTCAAAAAATTTCACTAATTTGTCAGCTGGCTCTGAGCTGGTCACAAAAAAAAAAATATGGAGGAAAAGATAATTGCTTTCTGTTTTATTAAAAAAAAAAACGCGAAAATGTAGCGAATAACATTTGTTCAACAACAACGTTATTAGGAAATAAAACAAAATGATTTATCATAAAAATTCATTAAAAAAAATATTTTTTTTAACCATTAAAATTTAAAGATTCTGATGAATAAGCTGTATTCATAATCAGAACGCAGTCGACACCACTGTCGATATAGGAAATTCAACTCTGACTACCACAAAGAAACTCAAGCGTATGTTGAAAGTGAAATAATTAAAAAAAATATATGTACATATATTATGTTCGAAATGCAACCGTGGACCGCAGCTGGCACTGAAGCTTCTAGTTGCGTTCCAGATAATTCACGATTTGCAGGTTTTTTCAGGAAGCTATTCCAGGTGACCACCTTCCATAAGGTTTATTAATGGCGAAAACAGCTTTTCCTGCAAAACCTGCACATCGTGAAGCATCTGGAACGCAACTTTTAAAATTCGGCAAATTTCTGTTCACGCTAAACTTAGAGTAAGTTTCTCTCTTTGGGAGAGTAAGTTACATTATTCTCTGAATTTGAACACAACTAATAGCTTTGTTCCCCACGCTTTCCGAGCTACTCCGGTAATTAGAGAGTAAAAATAAGTTACTCCTCACAAGTGTCAAAAATGTGCCAACACATGCCAAAAGTGCCCAGAGCGTGAGGAACGCAAAAACCACATTTCGTGCCCGGAATCAACATATCAGCTCTAAACAATGGTTTTACGTGTATTTAGCTTATATGACTAATTAAATTACCAAATAACTACATTTTCTGAAAATTCTGTGATATTTTCCACTTTTGTTTTCCTAAAATTTGCTTTCGGATTTAAACAACAGCAGTTATTTCAAATTGCCCTTTTGCACATTTGTGCCCGGAAAAAATTCGTGCACAAAGAAGGCATTTAAAATCCAAAAGTGGAACGTATTCGCTCTCTATTACCAATTTTTCTAGCGTGAGGAACGCTTTCTGGGCTGTTTTGAGCACCCGCGGGCTCGTGTGGAACAAACCTAATATGTGTCGCCAAAAACGCACATTTTTTATAACCGTTTACTTGAAGACCCTTCATTTCCCAAAAACTTGGCAAAAATACATCGATGTTTTTCTTTGATTCGATGCATCGAAATGTACATCGATATTTTTCGATGCATCGAGAGACCTACATTGACAACAAAAAAACATGCTATTAGCAAAATTGTACAAAATTTGAAATAAATTACTGCAACTGAGCGAATTATGTTTCCAACGGAACTTTTTGGAGCCATTTTAATTTTTTGGTCAAAGATACTTCTCTTTTTTGTACAATTTAAAAACTGAAGGTTTCGTTTGGAATACAAATGTTATAAAATAAATTTTTGTTGAATATTTTACCCTTTACTAAATTAAATCAAACAAACAAATCAACTTTCCCTATGCTCCATTGCAATTATAACTAAACACTTTATTTTTTTTTTATATATTTTTTGTATTTACCTGTATTGGCTGCTTTGACTGCTGTGGCATCTTTAGTTTGACCCTTTTGGGCAATCCTGTGGGAAATGGTACATTGCTTTTATTAGGTGCGGGTTGACCCACCGCAGCTGCTTGCTGTGTAGCTGGTGAATCATTTTCCAAAGTAAGCGGTGCACGTGCAAATTGACTCTGAAACTGCATAACACATTGATATGTGCAAAAATTACGCATTGAAGCATCCGACATGGTGAGATGGTATTGCGGTGTGGCAGAAGTATTACAATTGTCGCAATTCGCAACGGTGCGGGAGAACGCATTAATAGACACACCATATAACGTTAGACAATTAAGGGAACACATAAGTATTTCCTGTGAGTCTTGTTGCTTATAGATCATATCGAAATTATATTTCTTTACTTTGCACCATTGACATGAGACTATACGACGATTCACAATTATATACACATTAAGGCAAATTCGTGTACAAAATACTTTAGTCCGCCTTTCTGTATAAATGGTAAACGAATCGGTGCCTTTGCGTTCGAAATACTTAGAGCACATGGCGCACTGATCAGCGACTATATTGCTTACGAATTTAAAAGCAGAAAAGCAAGGATTTGAGCAAAAATTATGTTCTTTGCCATCCAGCATGATTTCGACACGCACCGGTTTATCATTGTTGCACACAGCACAAGTATCATTGCGAAGTTTCTTCTTTGGATTACACATGCTATCGTATCGGCGCATGCAGGCCTGTGAACAGAAATCTTTGAATTGTTCTTTATCACCGACAGGCGCGAGAAATCCTTCGCTACCCGATGAAATGTCTTTCTGGCAACACGAACAGGTCTTTAGGCCCTTTTTGAATTCATTGAGGCATGCAGCACAGCAAAATTGTCGAATGTCGAAACCGAAGCGCACACAATACTTTCCGAGCGCAGGATGTGGCACTTCACCATGGCACGTTTGACAATTCGCACCGATTGTACGTTGGTATTTGCCAAGACAGATCTCATTACAGAAATCCATTGTTTCCCAGAGCAGATTTTTGTCACCTAACGTCACCTCATTGAAACACTCTGCACATCGGCGCAAAAAACTGGCATTTCGCTCTATACGTGCAGCCTCTGCCTCTGCGGTGGTGCGAGCTACAACACCCGTATCCCGGGTGCTTTTCGTCTTAGCTGCTGTGCTTGCACTTGTGACGGCCGTCGTTAAAGCTCCTGGTGCAGGCGCCACAGGTGTTGTCAAAGTTGCGCCAATATTTCGCACACGTATTGAATGGCGTTTTAATTTAAATTTGTCAGGTTCTTCCAAATTTAGTAGGTTATAGCATATATCGCTACAAATGTAAAGTTGCTCATCATCCTGGCGAAAGAAGTATTTACATACTTTCACTTCCTTACATTGCAAGCATGAATACATGTTTGCTTCTTTTTCTGCCTCTGTAGATTTACCCGTGTCACCTGGAACACTACCATCATTGCCCTTTTCTGCTACATCTTTATCTTTTGGTTCATTACTTAGTTCCTCAATAAGGAATTTTTTTCGGCGAATGAAATACTTGCCAGGATTAGCGGACAACAGAGCATCACAGCACGTTTGCTCGCACAAATATTCTAAATTTCCACTTTCAGGGTTCTTATATCGAAAACCACAGGTTTTTTCGTTTTCACACTGTATACATTTCTGGGTAGATGAAAGTATCCAAGCGATAATAATTTTCGGTGTTGAACCAGTTTCAGTTGTACTGGTTTGCATTTCCTCCAATAACGGTTCATCAGCATCGGGTGCATCTACTGCTTCTTCTACAGTGTTTTGTTGTGTTTCTATATGTGTAAAAAAAAGTTACATTCCGAACTTAATAAATAAAGTCCTTACAACAATGGGAAACTTTTGAGCTTAAACTCTTTTCATTAGTAAAAATTGAATCTTAGCTTAAGCTCTTTTTTTGGGTACAGGGACCCATGACTATGCGATAAAATAAACTCGGCTTAAATTTGATACTCGAAAATATATGTGGCGAAATTGTGCCACCTTGCTTTTGGTAGGAACAACAGGTGTTGAAACCATAATGTTAAAGAACACAAGCACGAGCAAAGTTTTACTTCTTATAATATATTTCAATGCATTTCACTACTTATGATACTGAGACGCTCACCTTCGCTGCTGCCACTACCAGCGTCAGCTGCTTCAGCACCAGCTCCAGCTGAGTAAGCTTGAGCTTCGGCTTCGGCTGTCGCAAAAAAACAAGAATTTTTAAATATTTATACTAATGTAAATTCATATGTATGTATGATATCCCAAAATGACTTTGAAAATTAAATAAGCTTCGAAACAATAATAAGGCCCATTTTTCTGAATAAAAGTAAGGTTTTCTAAGGGATTGGGGGTTATCTAATATAGAAGAAAGTCTAATACACACTTATAACCAGCGAATGCAAGGCTTTTACAGCAAAAGAAAATACATACAGTGGTGGCAGAAATAATCGTAACGCCCTATTTCGATCAGTTTTTCGTTATATTTATTTTGTTTTTAAAAGTTTAATTTTTTTTTTATAAAACTCTAACCCATTATATAATAAACTGCATATAAAGCATATTTAAAAAAAAATTTTCTCTTAAATTTCAAACTTATTCAGAATTTCTAGAAAAATTTTGGCAACGCAAATCATCAAATTTAAGTAGGATAAAGTTCAAGTGCCTTCAAAATCGCGTAGATTTATATTTTATTTGCCGCAGGACTTTTTTTTCATAACAAGTGCAATTAATGAAAAAACGCGTTGATTTTCTTTTAAATTTTTCATCGGTTTTTTTGGAGCCACTTAAACTTGCTCTTCATCCTAATTTAATGGGTTATAAACAGGGAACGGATTTAATGGAAATTGCCTTTTTTGTGCTAAAGAGCCCATAGAGTATATACGATAAGAATGTCCACGATTTAGCTGTCCCCCGATTCCATATATACACATTTGATGTTGCCCTTTTTTTTCCTTTTTTTGCCTTTTCTACCTTTAATTGAACTTGAAACGTTCATTTTACGGAGTTAAAAAAAAACAAAAGAAAAGAAATAATTGAATTAATTGGCTTGTTATGCAACATTAGATACAAATGTGTGTACATACATACATATGTACATATGTGTAAAAATATATGTACATATATCATATTTAAAACACTTTTTTATATGGTGCTAAGCAAAAAATATTAAGGAACATAAAATTTCATTTCGTTTTGTACTAAAATACACCCTTTTGCACTGAATGCATAAGAACTTATATGCTAGGTATGTATGTACATACATATAGTGGTCCACAAAATAAAAGTCTAGCTAGTATACAACAAACACCATATAAATTCAGATTTCAAACTTTGTACAAAAATTAGAAAAATTCTGCTTATTTTCACCAAAATTTCAAACTTTTTAATCAGAATTTTGGTATGCAGTTTTGTAGACCATTTCATTCTAGTATAATGAAGTGCAAGTTTCAAGCTGCTATAAAATCCCGTTATTTTTTGCTGGCAGTGTTCTCCATATAAAAGAAAATTGTCGCACATACTTTTGTATGGAAAAAACGTGAAACACCTTCAACAAAAAAAAAAAAAAAATCATTTTTGTGAGCTGTCTGCAAATGTTTTTTAATGTTGGCTGTTGCTTCACCTGAACATTTGAGAAGAAATTCCAAAGAATCGGCGAAAAAGGCCCTCAATTTTGCTCAATTTTGTGCCGATGCCGATTAATCGGTCGGACTCTACTTTTTTTAGGTGTTAGGTCCTAAAAATCCATTCCCTGGTTACAAAACTACGTACCTAGAATTCGGAAAACTCGGGATAAAAAGTTTAAAATTTAAATGAACATGTGTTGAACTATTCTAATTTTTGTACAAAGTTGAAAATTCGCATTTACGCAGTTTAAAAAAAATGAGGTGATCATTTATTAAAAATATCAAATATTAAACAAAAAAAAATTAATTTAGTCCAAACTTATCAAATTAAGGTGTTCATATTATTTCTGCCTCAAGTATATCTTAAAAGGATAGGATTAACTATAAATATGCAAGACAATTGTAAATGTCGGTAAAAATATGCCTTAAGTTTTACTGTTTAAAAACTCACCTATTTCAGCATCTCCTATGCCGACATCTGGAGTATCCTTTTCGCTTGTTTCATCCTTATCTGTCTCCGCTTCTGCCTCTGCATCCTCTTTTTCGGCATTCTCTCGCGCCAGTATGGCTTGTTCTTTTTCTGCTTCAGTCACTTCGCTTTCGGGATCATCTGGTATAAGACATATATCCGAATCTTCTGGCTCTTGAACATTTTCAACTGGTTCTAAAAAATAATAAGATGTTATTACGACACATTTTTTTAAATAAAATTATGTGCATAGATATGTACATATGTAGATATGTACAAGACTTACCATCTTCCCGTTCTGGTTCGGCTTCAGCCTCTTGGCCCGCCATTGTTTCAGTGCCTTTTTCCGCTGGCTCGGATTCGTCCTCAGCCGTATTTTGCTCGTTTCCATCATCATCGCCAGCATTGCCGGCGCCAGTTCCTTCATTATTTGCCATATCTTCCTTTCCGCCTATATCGGTTTTACCATCATCAACAGCTTCAACATCTTCCAACGCTTCCATACTGATATCATTTTGCTCAGCAACCTTATCATCATTATCACATTCTGTAATAGGATGTGTTGCCACATTGTTAGAAGGCGAATTGCTTACGGATGTTTGGGCCTCTGTATCAGGTTCCGCTTCTCCTTCACCCAATGCACCAGCATTAACTTGATTATCCACTTCCATGGATTCGACTGACTTGTCAACTGGTTCGCCCTCCACTTTCTCAGTAGCTGTCGGCAAAGTCATATCAGACTCCCCTAACATATCTGATTCTTCGGCGGCTGCGTTGTGGCCACCGCCAGACACATTCGCATCGACTTCTTCGAAATCTGCGGAATCCTGTGTTTTAGTTTCGGCCAAATCTGCTTCTTTGCCATCTCCCTCACCTCGATCACCTTCACCACTTGCCACCTTATCTTGTGTGTTACTTCCATCATCTTTGGGTGGTCCCGAAGAAGTGCCATTTGAATTTTCATCTACCTCAAATGACCCCTCTGAAATTTGCTCGAAATCTTCATCATTATTACCATCTTCGGTATCTTTAGTGGCATCGCCATCGACCGCTTTGTCCATTGATGTTTGCGATGTGTCTTCGTCCAACTTGGGTGGCTCCGACTCAGGACGTGCGTTTGACTCAGCGTCAGTGTGAAATGAATCTAAACTTGATATTTCTTCCATTGGACTACAAATAAACTCTCTAGCAGTATGTAAACCTTAAACATTAACTAAAAAGAAGACAAATTAAAGTATATAAGTAAATAAAAAAATAATTGTGAAGCTTAATTAAAATTTAGCAATAGAGATTTCTTATTCAACAAGCATTCTACAATCTGAAGCCGCAGTATTTTAGATTTCTAATATGGCGCATTTTAGCATACAAAACATGATCATAAAACTTGTATCAAGTAATAGCAGTATCTGGCTTCTGTTGCACATAGGGCACTTTGCCCAAGTTTTTCCCGCCGCTACACTGCAGAGCACTCAGTAGAAGTGATAGGCGCGTTTGACTCGCCAGAAGAAGACCTGCGTGCAATCCGATATATGTTCTTCGACATATTTCATCGCGAAAGACAAATTAGCAAATCCATTTGATAATTCGAAAATTTCATTACAAAAAGGGCAACATTAATAAACAATTTGGTGCAAAGTGTGGTAATTTTATTAACCAATATATTTTACTAGACACTGGTAACAAGGTGTATGCACAGTGTGGCTACCCTGAAAGTACAGCACGCACAGTGGGAGCAAATACTTGTATGAATACATCGACCGCCAAACCGTCCCCCTCACTGATAAAAATCACTTCATTATTGCCGGCGACTGCTTTATTACCTATATACATGCACACACCTCGTTGTTTGCCAAAAAAAAAACCATTAAATAGTTTGCCAACGCACATGAAGCAAATTTTCTTTAAGCAAATTTTGACTGATTTCCGATATAATACGACTTTTAACAGATACGGAATGAGGCGGAAAGTAATGACATAGGAACGGAACGATTTTCGATCCATAGAACAAAACTCACTTTTGTTGTCAATTTTAGTTTTCCACACGGTTTTTTACACTTTTATAATAAACGCCCATGAACAATCTTTATAAAATCGTTATTATTTCAATTTATACTTTGTTTTGGTTACTATTTTATGGCATACGAGCCCAAATTTTTTCCACAAAAAACGTTTGTAAATAGCACGAAAAATTGTAGTTTACCTCCAATCGGCTTCGCCAGAAACATAACTCTATAAATTTCCAACAGTGTGGCTGTATTGTGCGGCGGAAAATGGCGCAAGCACAAATTGTCAATGTTGGAAGTGTTCGGAAAAGGCTTTGAACACTGAACTATTATTTTCATAAATGTTATTATGGTTATAAATATTTGTACAACTGCATTAATAATACCCTGATTTAATTATACTTTTGTATGTATACCTCTTTTAAAGAAAACTTTAAATTATTAAGGGAATTTCAATGAACAGTCACCGTTCAAATTTTTGTAATAGATCATTTAAGTAAAAGATCAAAAAACGAAGAATTAAAATAAAGGAATGCTGAGGCATCAAGTCGTGTAATTTACGTATCAAAAAATATAGACCGTTTGATTTTCAAGGAAACGCAGACCAAAAATGAAATTATGCAAGAATACATATTGTCCAGCCTATGACTTGTTCATATTATATTCGATTGAATAAAATTTCCTACGTAATTGGCACAAAAACAAAATGGCCGATTATTAAATAGTTGTTCCTTTTTCACACATTCCTCTATGTTATACACATTTTTTCCTAGTTGATATGGTAATGGAACAAAATGTACATAATATACACGTGGATTTGAAAGGAAATCTTCGAAACAAATGCATATGCAAATTTAAAAGGTTGTTTAAAATGTCATAATCTCATTAGTTCATATAGTTTATGCATACGATTAAGCACTCGGCTTTTATTTTTTATTGGTGAGCATTAAACAACCCTGAAAGAAAGTAAAAGATTATAAAATCTAGTACAAAAAATCTGATGACAAAAATTATAGATTTAAAACATTTTAATTTTTCAATTTTTTCTTCGAATTGTTCCCCTCCCAGGTCTATTCCGCTCTGGTAATAAACATTTTGTAATCGGTATATAAAGTGCTCGTAAATATATAAACCCTTTCTACATTTTACGCGCTCTTGTAGCCGGCGACCATCTTTAGCCTGTTCCCGTCCTCCAGGATCTGCAGGTTTAACAGGATATACAGGAAAACATGCAAATCCTGGAGTACGGGAACAGGCTACATACCTATGTATAAGCTGGTAAACAGGGCTGCCAGCTATCCTTAGCTCTGAGGTACCAAATTGGTGATAAAAAAAGTGCAAAAATGTGCCATATAGAAAAATAAAAGTGCCAAAAAAGATGCCATCCTCTTTAGTCCTTCCCATTTAATTTGCACGCAAAGATATGATCCTGAAAGAGATCTGGTTCAATTTATGATCCGCTCTTTTTGGTTTGTGTCACTGATAATATGGCAGTACAGTTTGGTAGCTTGCTTTAAATAAATTTGCTTTATGTTAAATATTTGTTTAAGTGAATATTATTTAGTTTAAATGTACTTTTCCCCATTTAGTGAGTTAATTTTTTTTAATGCCGTGTTCATCGTGTTAATGGTATAAAATTAGTGCTGCAACTTCAATACGAATGATCTAGACCGTTTCCGTGAGAAATGATCGTGATAAGCTGGATAACCCAAATAAACACAACTATTCTTACAAGACAAGACAAATCGGAATATGTCGTATCATTGTTCTACAGAAATGCTATATAGATACACTTCTTTCAGACGAAACACCTTAAAAGCTTAAACGCATAATAAATTTGGAAAATCACATCCATTGGGCCAATCGTAACTCGATATACACAATGGTGCAACAGGTCGATTTAGTCTGACTTTCACGCACCTTTTCTCACTTGGCGATTTTTAGTAATAACTCAACTCCAGCGCCACTGACAGCACTTTTTTGTAATATTATTTCTCTTACCGTTACCAATACATATTTTAAATATCGGATAAATCGGATTATTAATAGCTTTGTTTCTTAACAGATA